TCCACCTTGTTTTCTGAGACAGGCTCTCCCACTGGTACCTGGGGCTTGTGGATTAGATTATGCTAGTGGGTGAGACAGGTGATCTGCCTGTCTCTTCCTCCCCAGTGCTGGGACTTCAAGCATGCACTACCTTGCTTGGCTCTTATGCGAGTTATAGTGATTGAACCCAGGACCCCAAGATTTTGTGGCAAGTCCTTTACTAACTGCCCACCACTCTGGGTCCTTATGGTAGAATATTTTAGATACTGCTGAAATATAAATCTCTTGCACCTTACCTGGTCTATCAACTTGATAACCACTATATGAGAAAATTATTTATTTATTTATTTAATTAATTGATGTTTGGTTTTTTGAGACAGGGTTTCTCTGTGGCTTTGGAAGCTGTCCTGGAACTAGCTCTTGTAGACCAGGCTGGTCTCAAACTCACAGAGATCTGCCTGCCTCTGCCTCGCAAGTCCTGGGATTACAGGCATGTGCCACCAAAGCCTGGCGAGAAAAATTATTATTATTATTATTATTATTATTATTATTATTATTCTGGCTTTGTCTATGTGTACTCATATCCCCCCTCCCCCGTATCATTTGTTTTGTAATTGTATCAAGAATCGTCATTGGCTTATAGCTGTCAGAGTCTTTTTATTTGTAGAATTCGAGATCATCTACTTTCCTATGTCCCAGGTCCTCAGAGTTCTTTTTGGCTTATGTGATTTTTACAGTTGGTCAATAGTAGTTCTAAGAAAATTTTATTATAATCAGTTAAATATGCATGAGAGAAATTACATTTTGTCTACAGAAAAACTGAAACCACATTAAAAAATAAAATGGAAGAATGGCTAAAACAAATTAGCCATGGCCTTGCCATTCCACCCTGACTCACATTGACATATGTCTTGATTCTACCAGAAAAAGAATCAATGCTTACAACCAGGCTGTGCTTCATGGGCAGAGCCTGCTGAGTAGCCTAATTAGTAGTCTTTCAGAGGGGTGTGACTCAGATATGTTCAGAGGGTGCTGACAGCACAGATGAGGAAGGGGTCTATTTCTTCTGGGCAGGGGGTTGGTTGGCAGGCGAGGTGCCATGGGACCTATGACTCTTGATTTTCAAGCCAAAATAGAAGAAAAACAAATAGAATTGTGTATAAGCTGTGCTCACAACTATGTGCCAAATATTTATGAACAACTATAAGGAAATGTCCCAAAATTATTGTGGTGGGAATGTTGATAAGTGTGATTTTATTTTCTCTTGTTTTCTAAATGAGAGTCGATTGCCTCTTGTAGCTGTTTTCCCAAATCCCCTATGTGCACACTCAGTTGTGGGGAGCTTAGGGTTCAGAGCTTGGCTATAATAGATCCCTGCTGGGCCAGTTTGCTTGCAGCTGTATCTCCACCATGCTGTTTTCATCCGTGGTGGTCCAGGATGAAATAGGGAAGCCAGCCTGAAGAGGAGTCTAGTGGTATTCACTTAGCAACTTGAATGTTTTAGTCAGATTCTGGGATGGAACTTGAATAAAATGGTGCACATTGTTTCCTTGTCCTGGAAGTCTGATCAGGTCGCACTTGCTCCTCTGGGCTGAAGTCTTTCATAGCAGGAAGGGACCAACTTTAAAAATGTTCAAGAACAGCAATGTGAGGTCATGGTTTAGGAGGTGAGCCACCTTGTCAGACCCTTGGAGAAGCTGCTGACGTGTTATATCTGGCATGCAGGTTTCCTGCCCCAGCATTTATTCCCACTTGCTATGTCCACATGCAGAATCTAGGGTGCCCAGGTATTCTGAGGTCCTGCCTCCTTCCTCTGCATCACCAGAAGGCAAAGTCTCCCTGTTGGATAGTCCTGGGTCTAGATTTTTTTTGTGTGTGTTGTCCTTTAATTCGTTTTGTGACTTGGGCCTAAATTTTCCCCCTATCCTTAAGTTGAGCTGATAAAATTGGCCTTGGATTTGTTAAATCAATTTTTAGAATTGATTTAACCTTACATGTCTGTAAACAAACCCCTGATCTATAAGCAAATGCGCATCCGGAGCCTGTTTTTCCTGTTAGCGCCAGTCTTGTAAATTGGCTCCTGTGTGTCTTCTAGGTGGTCATGCAGAAAGAACTCTGGCTCTGCAGTCGTTACTCTAGCATTTAGTACTTGTACATTCTGTCTCCGGATGCTGAGTATTGATATGAAGTTGCTGTAGTGTGGGAACTGGTTGGATTTGTTTGTAGTTAGCATTTGGAAGTTAACGATGGCCACTTTGCCCTTTTTTTTCGCCTCTTTTCGGGTCTTGTTTAATTTCAGATTTTGTTTTTTATTTACTGGTGAACAGAAACAAGGTGACATTAGGGGAGAGATTTTGCCTTCATCAGGGAGGTCTGAAGACTGGGAGGATCTATCCAGAAGCCACGTGAGAAAGGATGATGGCAGTTAATAGGCCTCCATGATGTGGAGGTCATCACTAGATTGGGGTTGATGTCACCTTTGCCTTAAATGTTCACTCTGTCAGAAGTGTGCTGTGCCTGTCTGTCATTTTTCTCCATTTTTAACCCACATGGCTGTTTGGGGGCTGGGGAGACAGAGGGCCAAGTGAAGGGAATCTGGTACACAGTTTGTGTGGATATGACACATAGTGAGTACACAATCAACACTCTTGTCTTATCTTTATTAATTATCACTGTGGTAATTGAATTCAGGTTGCTAATAGAACAGGAGCCATCCATTGCAGAATTAAGTGGGACTCAGAGTATTAACGTTGATTATATAAAGACACCTGAGGTATCTTGTAGAAATGTCCATTTTAGCAAATTTTACAGTGTGAATCCCTGTTGGATTCATTTTAGCTACCGAGACTACCCCTTTTCTTCTCTGGAGATCTGTGGCTTTCTATCCAATAGATTAGATTTATTCCCAGCCTTGCTTTTTTTTTTATTTTTTGTTTTGTTTTATTTTGTTTTGTTTTCAAGGCAGGATTTCTCTGGCTGCTCTGGAATTCACTCAATAGACCAGGCTGACCTTGAATCAGAGATTCACCTGCCTGTGCCCCTCAAATGATGGGATTAAAGGTGTGTGCCACCAACGTCCGGCTCTGTTGTGTCTTTTCTGCTTGATATTTAGGGTGGAATTTCAAGGTTCATTTTTGAAGAGCCTTGGTTAGGAGTGGGAGGGTGCAGAGCAAGACCATGGCAGCTTTAGGATGGGCGACTTGAGCAGGGCCTTGCTCTTTACACTACTTCTCTCTCTTTCCCTTTCCCCCTCAGTACTCTTGATTCTCCCTACCTTCCTACCCAGGAACATTTTATGTGTTTCTAGGTTCAATGTTCGACGGAGAAGATGCAAAGTTCTTTTTCTTCCCCTTACGCTCTTGGTGATCCATTTTATAGGATGTCTTTGGTCATTTCCCCCATGCCTTGCTGTACCCATTAAAGTTGCTGCAGGCTTTGTGGAGGGCGAAGGCTCAGGTCATCCTCACATGACTGCCAGCTCTTTTTCGTCCCTATTATGGTGCTGGGGCAGTAGGGCAGGATGCCGGGGGTGGCTGTGCACATTCTTGGTGGGAACTGGCAGGGCGTAGGAACCAGTACAGGAGTAGGCCTGTGCGTTGCTGAAGTCGGGCCAGCACCAGGCTCAAAGGCTCAAGCACTGCCTGTTGCTGACTCTACATTTTGGCTGTTGGGCTGCTGTAGTGTAATTTGTATTGGCCATTTCGCCTGGACTGCTCCGTAGCCTTTTCATCCTAGGAATTACACAACATTAACATTTTTGACCTTGTAAGGCTTTGTAGAAGGGACTGTAAATTCCTGCTCTGTAGAGCAGTTCAGGGGATGAAACTAGGGAGCCTTCGTTGTCTGTAGGATGGCCCTAGCATCGCAAGGCTGCCCCTGTGGTTGTGCAGATGTCCATGGGAGCTTGTGCTGCAAAGAAGATGGCTGATCAGGTCAGCCCAAGGAGCTTTGGGGATGGATACATGCTCCTTTTACAGTGTAGATCTTCATTTTCCCACTGTAGAAGGGGGTTTGGGTTTATTTAGATGTATAAAAGCAGCCTCCTTTCCCTTGTTTATTGTTGGCACCTTCCAAGTTCCAGGCCAGTTTCAGGGGGCCTAGTAAACAGTTTGTTGGCCCCTGTCATTTTGAAAAAGTTCAGAGCTTCTAATAACCTGCCCTTTGGGTGAGAGCTTAGCAACTGCATGGTTGGGTCCCTGGCCAGGCAGATGTCATTTCCTGATAGGTTTTGTCTGGTAAGCACTTTGTGGGCTCAACAGTACTGAGTCTTTTCTGAACTGGTCATGTGGTCACATTACTGGGGAGGGAGTGTCCCCGAGCCTGCTGTGGTGAGGTGACGTTCCCTGGGTCACAGAGCAGTGGAAGAAGCTGAGCTGAAGTTGTTCCCTTTCCACAAAGGGAAATCTGGTGATTGGTGGCTGAGTGTGGCCCAGGTACTTTGCAGTCAGTTGTTTGGATTCTACTTTCTGACCGTGCTACTTCTTTACTTTGCTTATGAACATTGGCTTAACCTTCCCGAGTTTCTGTCGCCTTCTCTGTAGCATGGTGACTGCCCATCTCAACAGGATTTGAAGATCTCCTAGGACTGTTCCTGGTGCAAGTAGGCACTTGGCAGCATTATTTTCTATGTCTTGCTGCAGGCTTCTGGCTGTGCCAGGACTGATAGAGGAAGAGCTGCAGTAATCCTAAAACTTTCATGGCACCCTGCACCGTCTTCCTTTCATTTAATGTGAGCAGACCAAGAACTGGGTTGCTGTGTATCCACTGGCAGAAGGTGCCTGTGGGTTTAATCACCATACATTCCATAATCAGCCGTTTTGGCTCTGGTGTTGTTCCTCAAGTGTCATCATCCACTTTGTAAATGTGATAGGATCTCCCATTAGCCTGAAATTTACCATGTCGGTAAGACAGGCTGATCAGTGAACCTCAGGGATCCTACCTAGTTTATGTGGATTCTGGGGCTCGAACTTAGATCGCAATACCTACACAGTAAACTCATCACTGACTGTGCTATCTCCCCAGCTCCAGACATATTTTATTGGGACAGAGAAAGTTCTGTGTGCTCCAGGTAGCCCTGAGAACCAGACTTCTGACTTGTGAGCTGCCTGCACGTTTGACTTCCTCATCTTTACCCTTCCTGGCCCAGCTGTTCCATTATGATCGAATCTACAAGCATTTAAATGACTGCTATGTTCCAGGCACAGGGCAGAGTGCCAAAGAGAAAACACATGATGAGCCTGTAATTCGTGAGTCTTATGGGTGATCGGAAAGACAGATATTAAGTCGGTAAGAGCAAAATCTCTTCAAGGTGAGGCCATGATGAGGAAGCACACACTGGAGACATCTGACTCTGTTTAGGAGGCTACAGAAAGTTGCCAGGAATGACTGTTGATCTGATAGCTGAAGAAAGTCCAAAGCAGAGGGCAGCAGGGGATGGGACTACTACCCTGGCACTTATCACCTTCTTTTCCCTTAGTCTTTTTGGAACCAGTCATTTATTGAGTGTCAGTGGTGGGCCTGACTATGTACATTGTCATTTGATCCTCCAGCCCTCCTTCAAGGTGAGTATTGTGGCTCTGGGTGAAGAAATGGAGGCTCAGGATGCTAAATGATGTGGGCTTTGGTTTCATGTTGGCTAACTCAAAGGAAGCTGGGATTTGAACTTTTTGGTCCTCCTGCCTCTGCCTTTTGCAGACAGGTTTCTGTGGCTTGACATGGGGGTTTTAGCCACTGTTTCCACATCAGGTCCTAGGAAGATGCAATGTGAGTTCCAACCTTCCACCCATAAGTGAACCTTCAGCACTCAGCCTGTTTTCTAAGTTGAGGCTGTTGTGTCCGGGCAGCTTTGAGACTAAGTAGGTCTGACCCCTAGTGGTTTTAAAATCACCTTTTCGGTTCATCTCTACAGTTTTTGGGTGGTCTTAGAAGTAGTCACTTGGAGGTGAATACCAGTGGACTCGATACAAAGAAAGTAAATTTCATTCCTGCCATCAGCAGTATCTCTCTGGGCTGTGGAGAAGAGAAAATGGTGTGGGCTGGTAACTTTTAATTATTTGGAATTAAGTCTCTGATGGCCATGAGATTGTTAGTGAATGAGTGGACTCTAGGGCCCTGGGTAGGGTTAATTTGTTTTAGCCCTGCCCCAACTTGAATCTCCATGTCTATAAGGAAGGAGAGTACTGTTTTTTTGTTTTTTGTTTTTTTGTTTTGTTTTGTTTTGTTTTTGCATTGCTCTGAGATGCAAATAATCAGAGATCCCTGGGATCCAGGGGGAGGTATTCATAAGGTAATGTGTTAGAGATGGTTCTGTAAGCCTGTACAAATGATGCTACATTTGTTGATGTACCATTGTGGGTCATATTATTAATGGCATAACCTAGAGATTCCCAGACTTCAGCTGTGTCAAAATCACGTGGACGGCTTGTGAAGACATAAGTTGCTGACCTCTCTCCAGAATTTCTAACTCAGTGTGTCTAGGGTAGAGGATTTGTGTTCAGGATGAACACAGTTTTAAAATTTAATCTTTTTGGCTAGCATACAAAGTAATGGATTTCATTATGATTTTTTTTTCAAATGTGTCATTATTCTTCTTTCTAATTGCCCCCCTATCATCCTCATGTCTCCCACCCTCCTCTGCCTGGACAGCCCCCCCCCCACCACTCCCATATCACATGTATTCCATTATCTCCATCTCTTCCCCCAAGAGCTCTTCAGTGATGCAGTTCAAACAAGTACCCCGGTGATGGTGGTGGGCTGGTAATCACTCTTTTATTTTGTTTATTGAGGGCAAGTTTACTTCCCTGTGTGCCCAGAGTGGCTCCAAATTTGAGTGCCTACTTGGTGATGGGATTAAAGTGTGGACCACCATCACTGGCTAAGTGGCCCCACCTACAGAAGTCTCTCTCATGTCACTTACTCCAACACAGCCTTACAACTTGGAAGTGACAAGTGAAATCCATGCTTCTTATGGTTGGGTGAGTGTAGATTTCAGCTCAGGGGTTTGGATTAGCTAGGGCAGTGATTGTCAACTTGTGGGTTGAGACTCTTAGGGGAGGCCAAACGACACCCACAATGATCACCTTAGACCATAGAAAAACACAAATATTTACATTACAACTCATAACAGTAGCAAAATTACAGTTATGAAGTACAACTGAAAATAATTTTGTGGTTGGGGGGGGGTCACCACAACGTGAGGAACTGTGTTAAAGGGTCTCAGCATTAGGAAGGTTCATTGAGAACCACGGAGCTAGTGTAAGCTGAGTGGGCAGCTGTGACCCTGGTTGGGTCAAAAGCCATGTCTGGAGGGGATGGTGGCAACTACCATGAGAACTTGGGTTGACCTCAGGTAGTTGCTCTCCTTTTAGTTGGGGTATTGGGGGACAATTTTTACTGCTACTTAGTTCTTGGCTCCTATATATAAAAAAAAAAAAATTCTCTATCCCAGCACTCAGGAGGCAGAGGCAGGTGATCTCCAAGTTGAGGCCAACCTGGTCTACAGAGTGAATTCCAGGACAGTCAGGGCTTCACAGAGAAACCCTGTCTTGAAAAAAACCAAACCCAAAACAAAACAATCCCCCAACAACAACAAAACTTCCAGAAAACAAAAACAAACAAACAAACAAAACAAAAATCAAACCTGGCTCATGGTCTTCATCAGGTGCAGTAAATGGAGAATTTCCATATGGAGCTGGATGGCTGATCATATTGTCTCTCAACCTCAGTCTTCCTAATTGCCACTTCCCTCTCTTATAGACAGTGATTTCTTATTAAATCTCTTCCCTAATAGAGAGACCCAATCTTTTTCTTAATTGCCCTCATTTCAGGGCCTGGAGAGATGGCTTAGCTGTTAAAAGTGTAGACTGGTGTTGTAGAGCGCCCATGCTTGGTTCCCAGCACCCATGTCGTGTAGCTCACAGCTGCCAGTAATTTCAGATTCAGGGCAATCTCTAGCCTTCACTTCACTTATATGACCCCCATACACATAATTAAATGTAGTAAAAATCTTAAAATTAACCCCATTCCAGAAGAAGATAGCTTATTAGCAGTGATTCTTACACTTTTGGAATGATGTTGAGTGGCTGATTAAAGGCACAGATTCTCTGATCTATTCAACTATTTTCATTTCTCAGGCCTAGAGAGATCTTAGGGATTCTAATGCCAGGTTTTGAGAACCACATTCAGGGAAGTAACCAAAGAGAAATTGATTCGCTTTCAGTCTGCTGACATGTTGTAGGTACCACACTTGCCATAGTGTCCAGAGTGGCTAGCCAGCCTCAGGGTTTCCATATGACTCTGAAGGAGGTCTGTTAAAAGCTGGGGTGTCTAGTATCAATATCCAGCCTTTCCTTGTGCCTCTGGGCCTGGTATGTATCTGAAGTCTGGTGACCTTTGTAGTCCATTCTTAATCCATTCTAACAGCTTCTTGGTGAATGTCAGTAGGGTTTGGGGTTTTGTTCTGATTTGTGTGGTTGACTGTTTAGCTTACTTTGGGCTGATTTTATTTCTGAAATTAATGTATTGTAAGCATGGTGATAGTGATAGAATCTACAGAGTGCTGGCTCTACAATTATTTCTTTGATGGAGATGGATAGGTTGGTTCACCATGATGTTTCTAGGACAGAGTGACTCCCATTTGGTCTGTATGTACATCTCAAATCCATGATCAAAACTGAGTTGATCCCTTCAGTTATGGTCTTCTTGGATGGAAAGATATTGACAATGTTCCAGTAGTCCTTCTAAGGAGACCCCAGGCAGGTTTGGGTCATAACCAGAATAGGGTATTAACCAAAACAGAGCAGCATCAGAATGGGATCAAACCAGACAACTCCCCCACTGCATCAGTGTATGGCAGAGGCTGCTGGCTCTGACAGAACATGATGGGCATCAGCCATGGCAACAGATTGCTCATAAGGCTAGCTGAGTGTGTAAGAGAGACAGCAAAGAGTCTTGCTTCAAACTGCATTCTTCATTCTCTCTGGGTCTCCCAAGGACATGTTTTTCTCTTTTGAATCTCTCTCTCTCTCCTTCTGTCTCTCTCTTTCTCTCTCTGTCTCTCTCTCTCAAAATAGTGTTCAAGATTGGGTGAAAAAAAGAAAAAGAATCATCAGAAAAGAATTCAAGAACCCATATTCAAAAGGGCCTAGGTAGACTCAGTGTGTTTTTGTTAATGGTTCTTTCTAGCCTAGAGGGCTTCTGTCATAGCATCCAGGTCCAGCCCATAAGATTTCTCCTTGCTTTGTCTAGTCTTTGCCGTCAGTCTAAAGTAACCTTCTAGTTCATGCTAGTCCTTGTTAATTTTCATAGTCTATTGCATTTAGGTGGCTTGTCTTAAAACAGAACAGTTAACAACCACAGACTCAAAGGCTGAGTTGTAAAAATCTAACAGCTCTTATCTGGCCTGTGGAGATGCCTTAGATCCTTAGCGTCCTGTGCCATGGTATTCCACATCTGAGTTTGATTTTCTTCTCCCTGCTGTGCACTTCCATGGCAGAGATCCTGGCTTCTTTTGGTCCTCCTCTTGGCTGCCTGGAGGTGTGGTCAGCAGAGAGAAAGGGCTTCTGTGCCTCAGGTTGATGGAACCATTGGAGTACAAGTAGACTGATGAGGAATGGAACCTTTCTCAGATTGCATTTTGAAATGGGTTGAGAATAACACTGGCTGTGAAAACATTATCAAAAATCTGCAAAATCAACACTCTTCCTTCCTGGTAAACATGAAAGGCTTGGCAGCTGCGCCTCCCTCACACGTGTTCGGCCAACTGCTGTTCAGGACATTGTGCCTCCCTCTCCAGCTTATGGGTGCTGATTTAAGCCAGGATTGGTGTTCCAGCCCTTTGCTGAATAGAGCAGTGTGTTTCCATGCTTTTAAAAGCAGTGCCAGTCATGGTGTGGTTGGACCTCACTAATAGCACATACCTTCTACCTCGGGTCATGTGGACCCCATATCCCTGGTCAAGACCTGGTGCAGGTAGAGGCCCTGGCCCCTTGTACAAGAAAAAGTGAATCGTGGGTAATCTCTTTCCATCAGATCCTTTTAGTCACCCCATAACCTCTGTTATTCAAGAAAATTTACCAGAAAATCATCCTCCAAGATTTGAAACAAGACCAAAAGGAACACCTGCCACCATATGAGAACTCATGCCTTCTTGCTGCTCTTTGAGAACAGGTCTCTCTGACCTCTGGGCCTGTGGAAAACTTAGTTTGGAAATGTAACGACTTGGGCTTGTTTCTTTCAACTAGAGCTCTTGCTTGGCATTCTTGGGGCTAATCCTCTGGGATCGTTGA